GCTCTTGTTTCCACTGCCCTTGTTCGTTCCTTTGTCAGCTGCTGCTGTGACATATTCTGCGGCACCGGGGCTAATGCACGTCATCTGCTGGTTCTCCCCTCGTACAGATTCCTCCCCAAAACCGTCCAATTCAACCTCCCGGGCAACTCTCGCCGCCGACACACAATCTCGAAGCGCCAACGGGCCTTTGCGCCAGAACAGCCCTCGGTGGTGCCCGCGGTCGATGTCACGCCCAGTCTCTTCACCCGGCAGCCCGACATCACCCCTCCTCACACCCCGGTCGACGAACCCACTACGCCCGATCCATTCGCCAACGAAGATGGCTTCCGCATCCAATTCCCGCACAGCGACAACTCGCCCACCGACAAGGGCTCCAAGTCCTGGGGCGGCCGCGCTGACCAGCCCAAGTCGCGCGCCAACACCCCGCCGCCGGCCGACCTCTTCGAGAGCCGCCGGACGCTACAAAAGGCAAAGGAGCTGGGCCGTAGCGGCGTTGTCAAGCCCAGGGCTCTGATGCGCAGCGAGAGCCATGACAAGGTCTTTGCTTCGGCTCAATGGCGTGTGGTCAACGCCGACCAGGGCAATGGCGGTCTTCGCAACGCCGCCATGGCGGCTGCCCGAGATGGAAAGCTGACCGACTACACTTGGGTTGGCACACTCGGTATGCCCACTGATGCTCTCGAGGGCACTCAGCAGAAGCAGGACATCGAAGACACCTTGGCCACTCAGCATGACATGCTGCCTGTCTTCTGCTCTGACAAGGACTTTGATGGCCACTACAGCCACTTTTGCAAGCAGATGCTGTGGCCTGTCTTCCACTACCAGATTCCTGACAACCCCAAGAGCAAGGCATACGAGGATCACTCGTGGAAATACTACGTCAAGGTCAACCAGGCCTTTGCCGACAAGATTGTCCAGAACTGGAAGCGCGGCGATGTCATCTGGGTGCACGACTACCACCTGCTGCTCGTGCCTGGCATGATCCGCAAGAAGCTGCCCGAGGCCAAGATTGGCTTCTTCCTGCACGTTGCCTTTCCTTCGTCCGAAGTCTTCCGCTGTCTTGCTGTTCGCAAGGAGCTTCTCGAGGGCATGCTAGGAGCCAACCTGATCGGTTTCCAGATCCATGAATACACACGGCACTTTTTGCTTACTTGCAGCCGCATCCTAACTGTCGAGGCAACACCGGAAGGCCTGCAGTTGGAAGACCGCTTCGTCGATGTTGTGCATCTCGCCATTGGCATTGACCCCATTAGCTTAAACAAGCACCGTGCCGAGCCAGAGGTCATGAGGTGGCTGTCTATCATGCAGGAGCGTTACCAAGGCAAGAGGCTCATCGTTGCGCGAGACAAGCTCGATCATGTTCGAGGAGTCAGACAAAAGTTGTTGGCATACGAGCTGTTCCTGAATAAGAATCCGGAATGGCGTGAGAACACTGTTCTGATTCAGGTGGCCCTGTCATCGGGCGAGCCTAGTGAGCTTGATGCTGCCGTCTCCGACATCGTTACGCGCGTAAACTCGTCGTGGGCAAATCTGGCTTATCAACCCGTGGTCTATCTCAAACAGGATATCGACTACGCCCAGTACCTCGCTCTGCTTTCCATCGCCGACGCGCTCATGATCACCAGTCAGCGTGAAGGCATGAATCTCACGTCGCATGAGTACCTCTTTTGTCAGGACGGCAAGATCCTTTCTGATCAGAAGCATGGTTCCCTCATTCTGTCAGAGTTTACCGGCACGTCATCGCTATTCGGAAAGAATGAGCTCTCAGTGAACCCCTGGGACTACCGACAGTGCGCCGATGCCATCAAGCAGGCGCTCGAGATGGGTAAGGAGGAAAAGGCTCGCCGATGGGAGAGCCTCTACAAGTGTGTTGTGCACCAAACGGGCTCCCACTGGTTCAGCGAGCTTCTTGGCCATCTCGACAGGTCATATGACGAGCAGCACAAGCGCGACCAGACCTATGTGCCTCGCCTCTCGATGAACACGGTTTCTGCTCAGTACGCGAGTGCACAGCGACGTCTCTTCATCTTGGACTACGAGGGCACTCTTGTCAGCTGGGGCCCTGTCAATCAGATTATCCCGGTCAGCCCGCAGCGGACCCTGGATGTGCTCAATGACTTGCTGCTAGACGAACGCAACACCGTCTACGTCATGTCGGGCCGGCGGCCGGAGGAGCTCGATCGTGTATTCCGACGTGTGCCAAACCTGGGCTTGATTGCTGAGAACGGCTGCTTCCTCAAGGACTGCGGTAGCGACAAATGGATAGAGATGGCTGATGCGTCTCAAATTTTAAACTGGAAGGAATCAGTCAAGCCCATCATGCAGTACTATCTCGAGAGAACGCCCGGCTCGCAGATTGAAGAGCGTCGCTGCAGTCTCCTCTTCCACTACAACAACGCTGAAGATTTTGATACAGCGTCGCGGCAGGCTTCTGACTGTGCCAGCCACGTCAACGACGCCTGTGAATCGCAGCGGGTGCATGCTCTCGCAGTAGACGGCGCCATCCTTGTCGAACCGCTGGACTGGACCAAGTGCACTGCGGCGCAACGTGTGTTTGAGCAGCTAGGCGAGAACGTAAAGTCGGATGAGGCGAGCGAAAAGCCAGTTGACTTCCTCATGGTTGTCGGTGACGGCCGAGAAGACGAAAAGGTGTTCAAATGGGCCAACAACCTAGGTGACCAAGCCAAGATTGAGCAGGTTGTTACGGTTAGCCTTGGCAGCCGAAGCACGGAAGCGACAGCCACCTTGACACAGGGTGTGAGCGGTAAGTTTTCTCTCTCCAAAATTTGACCAGATGGTAATAAGTTGAAGAATCCTCTAATTTTTTCGTCGTAGGCGTCTTGAGCTGCCTTCAGCGTCTGGCATCAACCAGCTCATAATACGAACACGTCCAGCGTTTTCGTATCTTCTCCGTCCACACTCTATATTTTTTGCCGTTCATCTTGCTGTTATAGTTGGCCTTTTGGTTTCTCGTTTTTCCCCTCCTGTCTAGTTTTGGTATCATGCAAGGCGTCTCAGGTACATGAAAAGGAGGCGTATTGATATCAGTGGAATTTTGCATTATACCTGGACATGGCTTCACCAGCATCGTTTGCAGCGATGAATGAGTCCATATATATAACACACGCGAAGAGCCCCTCCATCACAACTCGCGTGTGAAATGGAGTTTCTGGGGTCTGGAAAAAATAAAAGGAAAGAAAAAAAAGTTTTGGGGGATAAAGACCGTCTCTACCACCTTGATGCGTATTTCCGTTTGGTTCAGCTCCATAGCACCGCTTTTCTCTTTTTATATTTGACTAGTCTTGCACCCTTGTATTTTTAGTGCCTTTTCTCATTCTTTCATGCTTCGTCAAGGTCGTTATGGCACATCAGCGATGATTATAGACAAAGCTTTGGATGGCGAGTGTATGTAAATGGTACCTACACACCAAGCATCAAGTATACAGAAAAAGAAAAAATAAAATAAAATAAGCGTATGCAAGCCAAGTATTAGCATCACCATGGGGTATACGAAGTAATTGTATTACTAGCACTTTTGTGCCTATTTGTCTTGCTCATTATTTCTCATTCTTTATGCTGTATTTTCCCGCGATCTCCGACCTCACCGCCTGAAGAGGGTAGTAGTTGCAATGGTACTCCATTAGAGCTCGATCTCGTTGAGGTGAGATTTGGTGAGATAATGGATCTAGTGGAGAGGATGTGGCCATGGATGGTTTCTAGGCAGAACAGAGGGTGACATGCATCCACCCGATTCACATACAAGATATCAAGGCCACTGTTCTCTCTTATTCTTTCTTCATCCATTCCGCCGTAGAATCCTTGATTTATTTGACCCATGCCATACCCTGTAAGGACCCTGCATTATTCCATGGTAAGTCTATAAAATATGCCCGATAACTACAATACAATGTATGTCAGACTCCCGATACTACAACGTTATGTATGTCAGATTTCAACGCTCCGTGACGGGGACCTGGGGGGATGATTGGATGGGGACTTTGGAGGGATTGAGAAGGGGGACCCTTTGGGGGGATCACGTCAGCTTGGGTAAGAGAAAGACAGAGAAAAATCTTGGAATTAGCAGGTAGGATGTGAAGAAGTCGATTGAGATGATGGAATTTCTTTTCTTGTGATTGAGATTGAGATTTTAGGTGAGTTCATTCAATGTTGGAGTTTGTAGAATTTATTACTGCCAACTGGTTATTGTTGGGTGTAGGAGCTTGAAATACTAAGTGATTAAGGTAAGATCTAGAGCTACTTATTCGACAACAACACAACAATTGTAAAGACAGCTAATAAAAGTGCACGTATTATTAAAGTACAGTCAGTGTGGTTATTAGTCAGGCAAGTAATTCGAATGGATCTTGCCGAGTTATATCCAAGATTCTGAAATATCACCTCTCTCTCTCTCCCTGCAAGATTATGCTATTTGACCCTCCCCCATCGTCCCGCCTTGCCGTCTTACAAGCTGCAGTCTGGGCTCCCCGGGCCGTCTCTACGGTTGGTTTGGCGCTAGGACCAGTTCAGTTGGTTGAAGAAAAAACACGATAGGGCCGGAAGCGGAGGCTGTGGAGGGGCCAAGCGAGATCGGGCTGGTGATGCAATCAGTGCAGGCCAGAGCTTACATGGGCAGTGACACAGATTTGGTTGGTGTGAAAGGGATTGAGAAGGGCGTGTGATTTAGAGTAGGACAGAATGAAAAATACATATACATGTGCTGATGACCTCCCAAGTTTGTGGCTTTAGTTGTTTGCTCTGACTCTTAATTGTTCTAAACGTTTTGGGTTCTCACTGTGATCAACGTGGCGCCGGCGTTTATTACCCACTCCGGCTGAAATCGATATAGCTGTCTTGTCATTGCTATTCTTATTTTACTACCTCGGCCACTGACTCATTCTTCTTGGATCAATTGATACTCGTCTTTGGCTAGACGGAAGCAATTGTCGAGCTGCAAACCATCGTCAACTTTTTTACAAAACAGAAACAGCTCTTCTTTCACAATGGGTGCTTTCCCTCCTCCTCCGGTCAACACCATTGACTGGTCCAACGTCGGTTTCCGGATCAGAGAAGGTGAGTTTCGAAGCTTCAGTCATGTCTTGACCTGCCATATCCTGTCTTGTTCTTCAATTTCTGCTGTCTGTAAGCACTATTCGTCTGCTCTGCTAACTTATTCCTCCAGTCAACGGCCACATCGAATCGACCTACTCCGTGCACACCGGCAAGTGGACGCCGCTCAAATATGTCGCCGACCCCTTCATCCGCATCCACGGCATGGCGCCCGCCCTCAACTACGGCCAGCAGGCCTACGAGGGCCTCAAGGCCTTCCGCCTGCCCGGCGACAACGAGATTGCGCTGTTCCGCCCGGACAAGAACGCCGTGCGCATGCAGCACTCGGCCGAGGTTGTGTGCATGCCGCCCGTGCCTGAAGATCTCTTTGTCCAGGCCTGCAAGGCTGCGGTTGCGCTCAACGCCGGCTTTGTGCCTCCCCACGAGACGGGCGCGGCCATGTACATCCGTCCCCAGATCTACGGCTCCAGCGCGCAGCTGGGACTGACGGCGCCTGAGGAGTACACCTTTTGCGTCTTTGTGATCCCCACGGGCGTCTACCACGGAGTCCACCCCGTCAAGGGCCTGATCCTCGAGGACTTTGACCGCGCTGCTCCCAACGGCACTGGCCACGTCAAGGTCGGCGGAAACTATGCGCCCGTGCTGCGCTGGAGCGACAAGGCGCGCACCGAGGGCTACGGCATCACGCTGCACCTAGACAGCGTCAAGCACGAGGAGATTGACGAGTTCAGCACCAGCGCCTTCATCGGCGTGCAGACCGGCCCCGGCGGCGCCGACGACATCACGCTGGTCGTGCCCGACTCCAAGAGCGTCATCGACAGCGTCACCTCGGACAGCGTCCTGACTATTGGCAAGAGCTTCGGCTGGAAGATCGAGAAGCGGCCCATCAAGTACGGCGAGCTGAGCTCCTTCAGCGAGGTCTTTGCCGCTGGAACTGCCGCCGCTCTGGTGCCCATTCGCAGCATCACCCGCCGCGGCACAAAGGGCCTCGGCAGCGCAAAGAACGTGACTGTCTCCGGCAGCGAGGAGACGGTGACGTACATCCCCGAGAGCCAGGAGGAGCCCGGCCCGGTGTGCTTGAAGGTGTTGGCGGAGCTCAAGGGCATTCAGCAGGGCAAGCGGGAGGATAAGTTTGGATGGAGGTTCACGATTAGCGAGGCTGATACGAAGGGCATTGCGGGGACGGAGAATGGTCAGACGGATGCAGAGACGGTGGATCAGATGGATTAAAAGAAAGAAAGAAAGAAATGAAATGAAAATGAAAAGCTTTTTTATCGTTCAAATTATCATTTTGCATATATGACAACATAGCAACAAAAAGGAGGTCAAGGATTATTGTCTTTATATACTCATTTACAGCATTCAGACTCTCGTTATATGTATTGACATACTAACATATCCAGCATCATCGATATCATCATCGTCATCATTATTCAAGAGCACCCTACAAGAACTGCTCATACACCGCAATCCCCTCCGAGAAGCTATCGTCAATCCCCTGCGTCAAGCCCTGCGCAACCGCCTGTAGCGCCTCCGGCACCTTGGCCACCACTGCCGCGCTAAACTTCCGCGTTGCGTCCTGCTCCAGCTTGAGGTTTAGCAGAATCACAGGGTCCACCACCAGCAGCTTGTCAAACGCGGGCTTGGTGTTGATGATTGTCGTGATGGTCTGGTTGACGTCCGTGGCGAGGGCGAGTGTCGCCGTGGCAATGGCGAGCGTCTGGTCGATCGTCAGGTTGGCGGCCTTGTTGGCCGTGTCGGTGCCCTTGTTGATGTCAGAGAGGAGCTGCGCCGACTGAATGGTGATTTTGATGAGTTTGAGGGGGTCGCCGTCGAAGTTTGCGACGGTGGTGTTGAGGCTGGTGGTGTCGCTAGTGATTGTGCCGAGGGCGGTGAGGATGGGGTTTGCGTCTGTTTGGGCGAGGGCGGAGGGGAGGAGGGCGAGGAGGGAGACGAGTTGGAACTTCATGGTTGCGTTGGGTTGATGTTTGTTGATTGATGTGTGGTGTTGTTGACGTGTGTAGGAGCGTGTAAGTCAATTGTTGAGAGCAAATAACCAAACAAGGCCTGAACAGCTGTGAGAGAAACACCAAAAGCAACAGTTCACAATCCAAGCAATCTCTCTAAACCAGGAAAAAGAAAAAGCGAGTCCATCGTCAGGTTTATATACCCTTACATGCCGCCCAATCCGGGCACTAACTGCTACCTACCTACCTACTACACCGCATACAGCTCAATTCATACAACAGCTCGCCCAACCACACACGCTTTTAGCCTCATTCCCATATCCATTTTCTCACTCTCACGAAATTGCATTACGTCCCGTCAAGCAGACGCAACCAGCTGCTAACATCAACAACAGAAGGGATCGTCGTATCCGTCATTTTGCTTTCCCCCAATACCCGGCCCTATCGCCAGATCAGGCAGCTCAACCGGCCATTGCAACGCCGTACCAGGCCTGACAGGGACAAGCTCCAACAGGAATGCGGTTGCAGTGCAACAAGCTTCTTTTGCTCTTTGCCTCCTTATCCAACAATTGCTTGGTTTACGTTTCTTTCCCCGCAAATGTTTTCTTCTGCGCTTCTCACCAGGCACCGCCCACCATCTGTAGCTCCTTTGCGGGGAAAGCTGCCGGCGGAGAGGGGGCTAGAACAAAAGCTGCAGTGTGGAGTGAGTGAGATCTGGGGTAAATGGGACTAATGGCTGGTGCCGCGGCAGCTTCTTGGCTCTTGATCGTCTTTTGACTTTCATGTGCTCGGCGACGTGCTTTGTTTCGTGCATGTGAAGAGGTGATCTGCGTGCGAGCGCGTTATTCCATTCGGAATTGTCCAGGTTGCATTGGCGATGCAGGTAGAGACAAAAGCTTGTGAAGCTTATATGCTGAGGAGACCAGAGGACACCATCCGGGGATGTCGTCTACCCGGAAGATTGCGATGAAAATATATCTTCATTATTTGAGCTAACAACAGGCCATGTTCATAGGCACTGTGAACTAAAAAGTGACAATGTCCACTTCGGGACCAATCTTCACCACACTAAAGCGACGCCATCTGCTCGTTATTCCATTCTAGAACTCACATCCAACATGCTTTCATCTTCTGGTGATTTATTCACATTCCTTTCGCAGTGATTCCACTCAATGTCATGTTCTCTGCCATAACCGAAACATTTCATCCTGGCTGTGCCACCAGCGAAAGCAGATCTCACTTCTCAGACAGCATCACAAATATTGAAGAACCAGGCCTTCGCCAGCTTCCAAGGGCGCCGGCTCCCTCACCAAGTCAACAGTAATCTTCATTCCAACTTTCCAGGCCAAGGCGATTTGTCGAATGTTGTATCGACCCACCAAGAAGGCCTGGTCCGGGTTCTGGAAGAAGAATTCGGCAAGCGCCGAGTAAAAGTATCCCTCGCGACGCATATCGTCACCATCCATCTCATTCCATGGTGCTCTCATTCTTGAGTACAACGAGTATTCCTGTCCAAACCGCTGTCTCACGATCTCGTATGCACAAATCATCCGCGCCTCTCCCGAAATTGCGGAAAAAATGTTTGCTGTGACGGCGACGACAGCCGAATATTCTTTCATAATGCTTCCTTCAATGAACGCATCAAAGGTATGTTTGGCAATAAGAATTTCCCACTCAACATAGCGCTTTCGATTGATTGTCCAAAGTTGGCCTATTGTTTCTAGAAGTACTGAATGGTTCGTTGGGAGCTCCATGATGACTCCTTGATGGCAAGATTCATGAAATTCCGGCACCAAAGCGCAGAGCTGCATGGATGTGACAAGGCACGTGTGTGTCGATTGCCAGTGGTTAAAAGCTTCTATAGCTTGTCTTCTCTCTAATTCAGAGAGTTTCGACGTGCAGTGAGTGGTCTTGATTCCGCAAGTTACAAGCAGCGCATTAATAATTCTAGGTATTCCTTGTCAGTCAACCACTCTCGATAGATACTGAACTTCGACGCATATGAAGATAGAGACGTGTAAAAGGAGTAGCATAACGAGGTTAAAGTAAAAAATAAGACCAAAACTCACTGTGATGTCAATAGGTTGTTTACGCATACCAGTAGCTTCTCATGTCGCTCCTTGGCCTCAAGAGCTCTCAACAGCACATGGCAATACTTGGGACTGTCCCAAGCTGTATAACGCACTTGTCCTAGCCTGTCTTTAGGAAAACTGTACCTCTGCAGTTCTCTGGTATGGTAGAACAGCCACTCCAAGCCGCCGGTCGTATCAAATTTGGCTAACCGGTTTATAAATTCCGATTTTTTCGTCCGCACGGAAGGGGTTAAACATTCTTGACAAGCCGTCATAAGGCTTAGTAGTCCCTTGGTGGGAGTAGTCAATGCTATATTGTTGACATCAGTCGATATCAGAGATAATTGGCGACAGATCGCACTGTCTAGCGTCTCTTTAACTTTTCCTGTCTCAACATTCAAATCTTCGGAGCATTTCAGCAGCTCAGAAATATGGCTACCAAGCCTTTTTCTAATCGAGTTTGAGTCTGTTGATGTAAGCTCAATTGTCCGAATGGCGAGACCAGCAACTTCCATTCCAAAGTATGGAGGAGTATCGCCATTGGGGAACCTGATAGGAGTGAGTAAGTCTCGTTGCAAGCTATTACTAGCTTTCGAATAGCTTCATGCGTACTCTCCCTCTTGAGTAAATGTTCGTACGTTTCTGGGTTATGAATCGTCGTATCTGATATCGAATCTGATTCTATCGAGTAGCTGAACGGCCAAGCCATGTCCCACATGAGTCTGAGATAGCCCAAAAGATCTTGCAGGTTCCCCAGGAGGTTTGAAGACACTAGAAAGAGAGCATCTCGGTCTAGCCGCTTTACTAGTCTATGGTGACTAGTTGTCTCATCATCGATAGAATGAAACTCATCGACAATTACCGCATTCCACATGTCGTTCTGTATAACAATCTTCTCGCGATAGGTTTGGGGGGTGACATCTTGTTCAAGGTCGTTCTCGTTGATGTTCTTACCAAGATCTTTTGGAAGCTTTTGGTCTGGAGCCATACCAGTGCCACGATGTTCCCGAGTCGCCTGGCCTTGTATCTCTTGGCTGAGCTGCGGCTGGCCAGTTTCAGCACCCAGCATAAGCTTTACCCCAGCTTCATATGACGCCAAGAGTACCGTTCGTGCAGTTTTAGGATCCCTATGTTCTGCTACCCAGCGGTCAATATGCTTCTGGAGCTCCGTATTATTATCGATTACGTTGGTTTTCCCGTCAGGATTCATCCAACTTTCACTGGCCTCACAAAGCAGTGAAATTTGAAATATTTCCATCCAGCAAGACCTCATCGTTGTAAAATGCGATCGTAATGCTTCTGAATGAACAAACACGATGCTTGGTTTAAAAATTCGATCAGCCTCTTCAATATGGAGCATGCCGTTGCGGAATTGATGAATCCTTTCGTCCATCAAGAATTTCAAAGCCAGCAATGCCACAGGTGTATTCCCAGTGCCACATTCGCTGTGTAATATGGCAGTTCGAAGAGGCCCTCCCAACAGCTCCGCCAATCGATTCGCGTCTACCTCTAAGTTTAGTAATCGTCCGGATTGATGATGTTAATCCAAGCAAATAGCCTCTGGCCAGAATACGTTATTTGACTATTGAGGAAAAAGCATACCTATGATATGAGGTGCTCTTGCTTTGGGCGGTGAATTGTATAGGTTAACCGACAAAGTATTCACGTCAATACCTCTCAAGCTACAAATGTTTGACAAATCTTGGTTAGATGAGATATCTTCTCCAATCTGCGCCCTCGCCTTTCTCAATCTTTCTGTATCGATATTATTTTTGGATGAGATATGCTCATTTGCTTTCACGCGTGACTTGAGTAGCGCTCGCAATGCTCCTCTCTCGTTCTTCGTAATCGGAGAGCGCCGCATTTTAGTTGGTACTTGGAGAGAGTTTAATTGATCGTCCAAGTCAGTTCCAGGAACAATGGTGCCAAGTGTTGCACAGACTGCTTCTGTAATGATCTCAGACCATGTGCCATCAGTATCTTGCATGATGCGGTCGCGTTCAGCCGCAGTCTTTGATTGGAAGAGCCCGAGGGTACTGATGGCATATTCAATCTCATCCTTTGTTGCAAGCCGCGATAAATTCTCTATCTCAACTATACCGCATTCGAATAAGGGGAAATATATTTCCTGATCTTGCTGCATTGCGGTCACCCTGTTGAATCTCTCGGGCGTCTCCACCAGTCGCAGCAACTCATCTGTTATGTAACCAAAAGACTTAGACTTTTGCGTTTGTCCATGGAGAGCCATAAATGGGCCAAAGAATTCCAAATTTGTGTTTGTTTCGAGGCCAGACGCAAGCCAAACATGGTTGTCACATGTGAAAGTAATCACAGCGTAAGCCCGCATCCAGTCCTCATGGTGAAGACCCCAAGCATACTCGGTTGGATTCTGAGGCTGTTGTTGACAGAAGCGATTGGGATGTGCCTTGGCTAACTTGTACGATGCAGCGAGAATCGATAAAACTGGGTCAATGTCTTTGAGGGTGGTGTTGTGTCCAACTTCTACTAGCTTCTGCTGGAATGGTGTGGATGAAACGAGTATCTGGTCTGGGCGAATTGCATCAAGTGCCAATTTAAGCCAGTTTAGATTTCCTTGCAAAAGAGTCCAAAACTGTTCCCATACTTGAGAAGCAAGAGGAAAGCTACCACTGACATTCGTATAGCCTGTGTTCTGCTGCTGCCGGTAGTGGTAGTCTGGGTAATGTATCCGAAGTAAATGTGCCAATGTGTTGGGCACTGTCAACATATTCAGTACGTTTTCAGATAAACAGAGTAACAGCAGCCTCTTACCGTCAAAATACACAAAGTAATACAGCTGTTGTACCGTATTGAATCCCAAGTATGCAGCTAGTAACCCGTCGTTTTCTTGGAGCTTCTCTAGACACAGCAAGCGTGCAAATGGTGGTCGAGATTTCTATTCCGACAACCTCCAGCTTCTTACTGCGGCGAACTGCTTTTTTCCATCTAGCTTCTCGACTGCCTGTGTTCGGAATTGAGAACTAGGTAGAAACTGTGATGGGATTATGGACGCCGGCAACGGTGATCCAAGCGTCCATTCTTCTTTGGTGAGAGACGATCTGGATGCGGCTCTAGAGCTCAGTGGTCTTGGTTCAAAGATGTTCTTGACTTCACTATCCTCTTCGCTCTTTTGTCTTTTGGAGAGATTTTGCATCTCTGCGGCCTCAGTCGGGCTTTGTGGCGGTCTCTTGCGTGGCATGGCGAGGACTGGCAGTCAGAAAAGTGAATGCGGATGAAGGATGAGAGTAAAAGAGAAGATGGCAGCTGTGAAGCTCTACTGCTGTGAAATGCTGCCTTCGGGCCTGGCGTATCAATATTCCAGCTGTGGCCTGTTCACCGCCCAGATCCAGAGCCAGCATGAAGCGTGCACGCTGCGCAGCTGGCCATTCACCTCTCCGCCAGGTGGCAGAATAGCTCTAGGGAGCTTATGAATCTGTCGGTGTCATTGCTAGATGCACACATGTGGCTGCAGACCTATTTCTTTCGACTGGTACTCACAAAGAGCTCTCCTGGCACATATCGACTCTTTCTGTTAACAAATTCCTTTCAAGTGTCAGCTTGTTCTATGCTGTATCGCCCAATATCACAATCTTGAGTATGTTTTCATCGAAAAATCGTTAAAGATCATGGCGCGCGCGACGGGTGACTGGCGTGCGATTTACGAAGCCAAGCCAGCCAATACACAAAATAACGCATAGAAGACGTCTGCTATATCTGCTATATCTACTATATACCTTCTAGGAGGACGCACGACAAGCATAAAACATCTTGAAAACATGGCTCTGCAACGCAGTTGACCTCATTCTGTTTCTTCCAATCTTTGAAAGCTGCCCATTGTCGCGCGGTTAGCTAGGCTTTGACATCGCCAACGGTGCTTGTAGAAAGCGGGAGGCTCGTCGCCCCTACAGCAAGTCAAAGGCGGAGGAATATGTGCGAGAACAATCCAGACATCCGACATGATGGGCACGAAGCCACAAATGGCGAATGCGGCAGCTGTTGACGCCAAGGACAAGCTTCTCGCTCCAAATAGATGTTTCAACATTAAGATTAAGGATATCAAGCTTCACGAAAAGAAGGTCAACCACATGGAGTTCTCGCAAGGCCCAGACTTCGACAACGCCAAAGCCTGCATCGCCGCGTATCAGAAACAGGTCACAGCTCTCTCTCTCGAAGACCGAGAGCTTATGCAGAGGATCCTGCAGAAGAGACGCTTCACCAGAGGAGAAAGTGCACATAACACGATGACCAACCATGTTTTGTGCTGCGACTACTCCAAGAAACAATTCAACCTGGAATGCTTATGCTGGCCTACATACGTCCTGCTGCATGCCATGTACGGCGACGACATGCACAAACCGTACGTAGCAGCCGCCGAAATTGTATGGAGGGTGTTGGTCATCAAGAATTACTAGTCCGTACTCTACAAATAGCAGCTACGGGTAATGGAACAATGGATACGGGAGCACTTTGATGGTTGGCTTGTCCTTAAAGTCTACTCTAGTCTCGTCTTGCCACGCCCAAAAGTAACGTGAGCATCATCAATCATCCTACTCTAGAGAGTTACGCCGAATGCAGTCATGGAAGAGGAAAAATCTTCAGTCCAACCTGAGCGTCAGGTCTTTCTAAGAGAGGGAACTCTTGTCCTCCGTTGGTTATTCGGGTACTATGCTAAACGACGATTGCCTGACGGAGCCACACGCCCACGCTGGCCACATACGTTATCTACCTGGACACCCCGGAAGCCAAAGACGAAGTTTAGAGAGGCGACTTTGGTAAGCATCGATATCGACGAGCTGAAGGAGCAAAACGGGTTTCCGGTTCAATTTCACATTGGCATTTCAATCATGCCGACTCAGGATCTGCACGACCAGTGCCACTTGGCTTCATTGCATGAACAGTCCACACCATATCGTATACAGTCCTACCACTGGGCTGTTGAGAATACTGATCATTACTCAACCCACGATAACCTTTTCTGCTCTAGAAAACGTCGGTGTATTCCGCTTTCTGACCTAAAAGAGCGCTTAAAAAAGCTTATTGGAAAGTCTTCTCCAATAATCCTTATTGTTCAGGAGGACATCGTGAAGTAACCATACTCAAGAAGCTTGACATTGATCTTAACCCAATCTTCACAATTGATACGACAAAAGCTGCTCGCTATCCACTCCAGGCTTTCTGCGACTATACGCTGAAGAAACTTCTCCAAGACTTTGGCATCCCTTTCACCAACAAACAGCTCCATGTTGCAGGGAACGACGCACTCTTTACGCTCCGAGTCCTCCTTATGATTGCCGTGACCGACGTACGACGGGAGTTGGGCGAGGTTCCAACTTGGGTGCCGGTGTTCGAGGCCATTGCCCGGGCCCCGCTACCGCCTATGCCACTCAAACATGCAGGAAAGGCGGCGATTATGAAAAGAAATAAACTGGCTGCCATCAAACAAGAGAACATGTCATTGTACGTATCATGGCTGGTTACACCAAAGCGAAGGGCAACACCTGGCTTGCTGACCAGTATCGCATTGTCGTTACTAACACATTAAAATTTCATAGACCCAATGGATCCGACCGCCCTGAGCAATCCAGCAGCGACACAAGACATGTCTGACGTTCCTAATCGTCAGACTTTTTATGGACTTGGCGCCGGGCTCGCAGCTAAGAAACACACGAATTACTCGCAAAAACTCCAACTGGGAGTAAGGCCCGCAAAAGAAGAGCCCGAGCCGAATAGCGGCTTGGCACCATATGGAAATTCTTTGCTGCATTATTCGACTTAGACTTGCCCCTGTCTATCGCTTGACTCCGTTTCCGTTACGACGCAACCAAACGGTGGCCAGCAGACAATGCAGCAGGGCATATTCGCCTCACGGATTAGAATATCAGATACGTGTCTATACGCTAACCAGCTGCCCATTCACCTCTTCGCTGGGTGGCAAGATACATGTAAATTGGCCATATCGGATTTCAGTCCAAGACAAATCAGCGAAAATGCCACTCCCATGGAATAAGATTTGACAGTCGAGAAAGTCAAAACGCAGACAAGTGTACGAAATGATATAGAGGCCAGGATTTTGCCTACGTTGAACACCACGGTATCGCGAGCCACGACTATATTGGAAAAAAAAGAGCATACACTCTCATGATGCTTGTTGTGATCACACATGGAGTACAGAGGTTTGCATATGGAGCTGGTATCGTGGGCGCGCTCAAGGTCGGGCGCGCTGTGGGTGCATCGAATTCATTAGCCACTTGGATCGCTGCATCGTATCTGCTGACACAAGGTTCCTTTGTCTTGTCCAGTGGTCGCATGGGTACTGTCTATGGATACAAGTGAATCATGACGCTTGACTCATCCATTTGGATCTTTTGGATGTTGGCCACGGCATACAGACGAAACATCATCGGCGTCAGCTTCATGAGAGCGCTTGCAAGGCTAGGAGGCGGCCTGATCGTCCCCAACGCTGTGGCTCTCTTGACGACAACACTCCTCCTTCAGAAAATAGCGAAACTTGGGGTTGGCTCTTTTTGCATCTATAGTGCCGACCGGCGACGCTGGTGGATGTACTATTGCTGATATCATTTTTAAAGTGGACGGATTGGACATGATTCTTTTCCCTTCCTCTATGGTGTCCTATCTCGACGTCGCATACAATCACAAGTGCAAGCTACGGCGACTTACCTTTGATAATAGAGCCGTGCTTGGCCGTAGTAATCTTTGGTGCAGCAATGATCAGTTTTCCGGATGACGAACCCTAAGATCCCGATGGGACCTTTGACTGGATAGGAGCATACTTCGGCGTTGCAGGACTGATCTTATTCAACTTCGTTTGGAAGTAAGCTGAGAGGCATCCATCATCACCCATCATATGTTGTTGCTGATGAGTGTGTCTTATAGCCAAGCTCCGATTGCCGGTTGGTTGAATCCATACGAATATGTGCTACTCATTGTTGCCATTGCTCATCTTGCTCTGTTTCTACTCTGGGAAGCAAAATGGGCAACAACTCCAGTACTCCCATTAGGTATTTGGAAAGTGCCGTCTTGTGGTGCTCTCATGCTGGTCTTGTTCTGCGTCTTCATGAGTGTAGGTACCTATATAGTGCTGGTGCGTCACTGTCTGGCTGGCCGGCTTTTCCTTTTTGCTAATGGCAATTGCTGGATCTGCATCTGCTTTCTTTGAAGCATGGGTCATAATCAGAGTGCGAGTCGAGTTCGGCCTTTGTCTCGTCTCTCTCTCCGATCTCCCGGCTTTCTTAAAGTCCAGCTCAAGTGCTAACTGGCCAACCCTTCTATCCATTGGCCAGCAGATCTGGAACGACCCAGAGGTTGGCCTCGACGAAACTCATGCACACGACCGCATCGTCAACCACCTTTATTCACTCTCGGCTTGGTGTATTAGCAATGAAAGCACTTGCCACTATGCCAGTGAAGGAAAACTGGTAGGTGCAGGTATTCCTCGCCATGGTTTTCGCAGGATGCACGGGAGACATGATATTTGCTGCTGGTCAGATAATCGCCAGTAGCATTGTGAGGAAAAATCATCAAGGAACTTCAAAATCTCTGCGTGAAACTTGTTATTTTATGTACGAATTGAGTACAGGCTCAGGGTTTGCCGGCATGGTCGAGGTCAACGTGAATACGAACGGGTCGGATATCGTGGGAGGCTACCGAGGAGCTGAGCACCTGGCAATAAGAGTTGCAGGAATGGCCTTCGTAACAGCACAGCTCTTTGTGAAGATGGAAAGGGACACTGTCGAGGAATGGCAAGGTGAGGATGTCGAAAGTTATCAGCCTGAACATTGAATAGGTGAAGTAGTTTTCTATAGAGAAGAAACGTCAAATACCACTGTTATGCATCTAAATTGTGGATGTGTAACAGAGCTGTATTATATACTACAGTAGATACTAACGATTCATGACGAGATGGCGCAGTTAAGGCAAGACCTTCTTGAATGAGAGATTTTGAGCAGCAAACAAAGGGATTAATTCGTTCTTTTTATTGTAATGTGCACATTGTAGTCAGTAATTTTCACGATTGACTTACACATTTCTTGGAAAGCCGGAACAGCCGGATACTTTTTATGATCCACGGCAGATACAAATTCGGCATAACCATCTGGATATGGATAAAGCAGCATTTAAATTCTGGCAGGATGCCATTTCTCAGCCAAAGTCAATGACAACTAAGCTGAACATCCCGTTCATAAGACTTATAAGCTCCATTTTTAAGCAGCGCAGAGCTAAGCCCGGTCAATCGGGGCGAATTGTGGAGAAGTTGACGTTTTTTGGCCACGACATCTATTCTCAATGAGGCTAGTTTTGTCGAGGTGCATAACCGATGGATAGTCTAAAATGAGCTTATTGCTCTTGTCTGCGACTCGTGGCGAAACTCTTTGTATCTCGCGATATGCATCAAAACTTGGGCCAAAGTGCGGTTGCGTCCAGACAAGAGTTTTAGAGCGACTTGTTATAGAATAGTTATTCAACCACGACCGTTGCTTTTAGAACTTCGTGTCGATCCCGTGTTGTCGAATAATATTTTTTAAAAGAAAAAAAAAAAACGCCGTATCTCCCCTTGCGAGTATTGGCGTCACTTACCGCGATTGCAAAGATACAGAATCCTTCGAGCGGGTACGAAGATTCTTCTCAGGAGTTGGCTCCATAACTGTTGCTTACATTTGGGTTTACTAACGTGAAGTTACTCCTATCCTAATGATTGGAAATCCTGATGGATATCATGATATTGTAATGACTGTCTAGCAGTACACTGTATGTCCAAATTTCGTGTTCATTTGTAAGCCAAGCCAAACAGATGCTTTTGACTTATTGCAACTTGGAGACTATATAATAGGGGCTCATCTTTCTCATTGAAGCTTCTGAAATTGAGAGTCTATATCACTTGTCTATACACACTCTGCTTACTGAACTCTAGCAATACCATACCCTAAGTTATTGTGCGCTTGTGTTATTAGATCGACCACTCCCTTTCTATCCTCAATATGTTACCAAATCTCTCTACAGTTGCTTCCATTATTACTGTCGCTTCCCTTCCATTTGTCTCAGCGGACACAGCTCCGTTTACTGACTGGGACCATGGTCGAGTTCAGTTGAGTAACGTGAGCATTCATTTCCGCTACGCAGGAAGTGGACCTCCTTTACTGCTTGTTCACGGAAATCCACAACACAGCGTGAGTTTTTACTAATCTTTCTACCACGTTTTCCCCATAACTCATTTGTTTTCCATGCTACAGTATACATGGCGTGTCATGGGCCCAATTCTCGCATCTCATTTCACAATTATTGCTCCTGATAACCGCGGCGCTGGAGATAGCTCTATTCCCGCAGACAACGACTACAGTGCTGAAGCAATGGCTTCCGATCTCAAAGGCCTTTTAGACTTTCTGCAAGTCAACCAAACCTTGGTGTTCTCGCATGATAAAGGCGCTGGCGCGGCAACCGCCCTGGCAGCTCTTTTCCCGGACTCGGTTACATCGCTCGGTGTATCTGAATACGTCTTACCAGGATTCGGATACGAAGAGTTTTCTTGTCCCTCTCCCACATGGGATCTCTACGCCAACTGGCAGCTAGCATTCTTTAGCATAACGGATGCCGCAGAGTTCTTCATCCGCGGTCGTGAAAAGGATATGCTTTCTTGGTACTTTTACCACGCCAGCTACAGTGGTACCGAAGCAATTCCGGATGACGTTCTGCAGCGTTATGCGACCAGTATCAGCAAGCCGGGTTTCTTGCGCAGCATGCTGGGTCCGTTCTCCACCGCTTCAACCACAGCAGACCATGCGCTCTTCACCAAAGCGTTTGCAAACTCCACTCTCAAGATGCCTTTCCTTGCTCTGGGTGGCGAAGCGAGCCTTGCGCCAGAGAGTCAGGTAAAACAACTATGGGGTAATCTCAGCCACAATGGAACTTATGACATAGTTCCAAAGGCCGGCCATTGGATCGCAGATGAGAATCCTGAATGGGTCGCGCAGCGTCTCGTGGAATTCTTTGGCAGCACGGCAGCTACTATGAAGCCAGCGAATCTCACATGGTTAAACAATAAGGTAACTCTTGTTTAACGAGCTATTGTTACAGCACAACGATGCTCTAACCAGATTCTATACAAAGGGCCCTCTTAAGGAACTTTGCAGTGGTGGTTTGGAAAAGCAGGGTGTAGATCAAAACAAATACGTATATACATACATATAATACTACTGTTCTTCTAAAAGATTTTTTTAATATAGGGCTTTAAAAGTAAGCAGAGGACAGTTGCCAGTCAATTTGCAGTGTAAGACACTGTGTAATTGTGAATCGGTCGAGTTGTTAGTGTCGCTTATAGTATGATGGTGACAAGTCATCGTAGTGCAGGGATTACAGTTTCAAGCGATTACAAATCTCAGCGCCGCAGTAAGCACATGTTTGCGACCAGCCAATTCATAAAGCAATTTCGTCGTCTCTCCCTCTCTCTCTGCTTCATTCACCGGATTTTCCAGTGAGCAGGCCGACTGACTTGTTGACTTGTCACGAACATGGGGCGATACCCAACCAGCGGCTACTGCCATACATGTCGAAAAAGACGTGTGAAATGTGGTGAGTGTTGACAGTCTCTATTGCATGTCTGGCTCATCTAAGCTAGGAATTGTATGTTGTAGACAAGGCCAAACCGTCATGCGGCCAATGTTTACGCTCCGGCCATTTTTGCAGAGGTTACCAGCCTGTTCTACGGATGCAGCATTATGTGGCTATGAGTCAAGATAGCGCCAGATCGCCGCGCGTAGCGACGAAAAGGCTTGCTATTCCGAATGACGGGTGCTTAACGAGAGCGGCCATGGGGAGATTTGATGACGAGCTTCATTTGTACTTCCACTCTGTCTATCAATGGGCGCCTTTCTGGTATCCGATGTTGAAGGCGGCCGTTGATGCCGGCTCACCTGCTGTTAACCGGCTTTGCAGTTTAGCTATTATATATGGATGCATGGGAAAAGAACTCAAAGCTCAGACAATGCTGGCGAAATCTCAGGCGTTTTATGCAGAAGCTCTACACCGAGCTCGAGCTCTGATTGAGCAGACAGATAAAACAGCATTGGCTAAGCTAGTACCTGCAGTCCTTATGATGGCCATGTACGAGGTGAGTACTCTTTTTATTCGAAATAAAGCGTACTACTTTTTAACAATTATAAGTGGTCAGTACAAGACCGTACCGGGAATACTCACATCCATGGTTTGAACCAAATTTTGGAATACTGCGGGCCCAAATATTTTGAGCAAGAGGCACTGATTTCTATATACAGATCATGTAGAATCCTGCATGTAAGTGATGCCGCCATTGAACAGATCGTCTTGATGATTAAAGCCACTCATTGTCATTATTTAGACTTGCTGGGGTGTTCGAAACCGACGGCGCTCCCTTTTCGAAGCTCCGAGCTGGGCGTCTGTTCCATGGAAACGCCATCTCAATACAACCGAGGACACACTGCTGAATATCTTGATTGGCATCCCCGGACTCATTGAGGATATGGCGAAGCAGCGTGACTATACGCGCTTTGAACACGTAATAAGCGACTATATCTCGGAGCTTCATCAATGGCGAATTGCGTGGCATCGTGAACATCCTACTGCCGTGTGGGAAACTTTTACAGACGAACCTGACTCGGTTCTTTCCTTGGACGAGACCCTATCAAGGCCTCTAGAGTTCAATTCCGTATCTTTGGCCCTAGAAATACTGTATTGCGACGCCGCACTCGTACAGCTTACGCGGCTGAAACGGTACATTCTCTTTCCGTCCATGCAGCCAAAGCCAGTAAGGCCGGAGGATATGGTATACATTTGCCAAATGGCGTATGGAGCAAACGGAAATGGCCTCTTGCTCCCTCACCAAGTCCGATTCGAATCCCAATTAGCTATTGAAGCACTGAGAATCACTCAGTATATTACGAAGCAGTTACAAAGCTCCGCAATTGACCGATATATACCACCATCGCCTTTTGGCATAATATACTGGGCGTTGGTAGATGAACCTGAAGTGCAAAGTTGCGTAGCTTCTAAGCTGCTCAAGTGCCCGCCGTTCTCGAACAACAAAACGTTTGACGAATTTAAAGTGAACTTTCAAGTTCCACGAAGACGGTCAATAGTGGGTTTGGAAAACTAATGCTTGTGATATGCAAGTTATTTCGGAGCGAATTAGGAATCACATATATGGAACCGAAATGGAATTCTCGGGTCTTTAACCCAAATTGGTTTGATGCGTTACTCAGATTAAATCATGAAGCGAAATAGCAGATCGCGCCTCTATCTACACAATCTAGCCCTAATTTCCAAAAATCCCGACAGCTTTAAAGCTCCAAATATCTTGTGTCGCCAGATATAGAGTTCCACTAGATGGGGATTTCCGTTGACATGTCAATATTTGCTACCTGAAGGCCATTTACAAGCCAAGAGGAGTTTCGCATAGGACGTCTTGGCCAAGCTAAAAGAAAGATTAATACCATTACCAGTCTATGGTGGCAGTTGTGTTCTATATATTGCAGAATAACTTACCACAGGAAGAGCGCAGCATCGAGCCTCTTGGCCTATCTTAGCACAAGTGGCTTGAAATTCCTTGGCGGTGGTAGGAGGTCCAGCAGCTAAATGCCAGTATCAGTATCCTTGAATCAATAAGTATGGCCAGGCTTTTGGATGTTACTTACGGCCTGCACAGTTCAAATCAGCAACCCCCAAGACATCAACGGCACAGCATTGTGGGTTAGAGTAGAGGCCAGCAGCGCAAAGAGTGGCGCGAGAGTTTAAGCCGCTGGGTGACGGCGCGGCGAGGACGCCAGCGACAAAGAGAGTTGCGACAGCGAAGAACTGCATTTTGAATGAAGTGTAAATGTTAGATATTAGGTAGGTATATGGCAAAAAGCTAGCGAATATTATGGTGGAGATTGAAGCGAGTGTTGAGAGTCTTGATATTGAGCTGTTTGATGATGCTGAGAGACTTGAATAGCGAGGATTCAACGACATATTTATATTCGTTTCTGAGCCCCTTTCCATCTACGTATGTCAGGCTCATGTTTCCTTGGCAGCCATAGATTCCTGTTTTTCTTGCTCTTTGTCCAAACAAAATGGCAGCCATGCAATTGTGCCTGAGCTGGGACATGGATGCCAGGATATGGGTCATAGAATAGTTACTTCCATCATGTAACTGTCATTGTGCAGGGGATCAATCAAGCAGGAATGAAGGACTGCTAGTCTGCAGTATGAAATGATGCACAGTGGACAATTCGGCAAGGTGGTTGGTAGATGGGATGGAAGATCTCAAGCAGCCTTTACAAGGAAATAACGAGCTAGCCGTTCACCTTGCATGTTACAGGGCTATGCCTGTGGCGTTTCTTGGATATTGTTTATATACGGCGTTCAATCAAGTTGTATTGCTTGCCACTTTCATTGTGAATCACTCCAAGTCCCTCCCATGGTTGGACAATGTCGAAGCCTTCAAATAAGGCGAAGGCAGTGCAACGCCACTCATTCTACACCGATGATGTCGAGGCACATGATGCACTGGACAGTACTCGATTTACACATCAGTTACTGGATCTCGAAATCCGGTTGTAGTAGTAGCAGTGGATATTATCGTACGAGATATAGTTTTACTACCACTAACACCAGCCACATCTAGAATTACCTCCTGAGGAATCGTCACTTAGTTGCGACGCCCCCTGTGGCAAACGCTTCAGCGGATGCATCCCGAGAACCCGACCCCAGATAATCTCTGAATGGCTTAATTGCAGCAGTGTCTCGGGCCTTCGGCCCCGTTGCTAATTGCCCAATGAGCTGCCGGAATACATGCCGCTGTGCCGTGGGGGAGGCAAATTCATGCGTGCTATTTTTAGCGGGCTGTCAATCACTTGATTTATGGCCTATAGACACAGAGTACGTCAAGCCAGGAAATAAAAACAAGGAAAATTATATTACTTTGCCGTGCGGAAAAATGAATTGGTCTCATATCGGCACTTGTACGCCAATATGCTTCTTTACCCCCTGCGCTACGCCTTAGTTCCATTTCAGCTGTCTATGGTACTTACTTTAGTGCAGAATACATTCAAGCAACGCGTATCTATTATGTAGTATTACCGATCCCCTTCGATTTTGGATTCGAAGCACCTTGGGCGGAGGCTCATCTACATAGACCTTCTAGTTGGGCCGTCTAGTTGATATCATCTCATGCCTTGGATAACAAGCCTTGTTGGGAGAAGCAAGTAGACAGACAAGCCGTGGTCTGTATTCTGCAGACGTAGCGTATCCACCGGCCCGTCGGCTGTCATATTCCGTGTGCAAACAGTTTACAACTTATTATCCCATCCCGCATGCTCGGCATCTATCGCAGCCCGGTACCTGTGAGGATGGAGTCGCAGCCGTGAACAGCATGTGTTTTGGGCGCACAAGGTTAGCTGATGGCGGTTACACCACTAACGGCTATGCAGGAACTTGTTCGCCCAAATGTGATAAACGATGTGCCGATCTTGTGCTTTTACAGGGAGCATAGCCTTGGTATACGCCAAGGAAGGCCAATCGAGTCTTGTTGTTCAGCTATGCATGCTTCCATCTAATCTCAATGGTCCGGCCATTATACTCGTAGGAGTAATGATCTTAACACACCACTATGGCATTGCGGCCATTTGGGCCATTGGTCACTTATTTCGTCACCTTCATATGCCAAGATGCCAATTGGCTTCTACCACGCCACTGCCAGGAATCAAAGAAGCAAACTGAGCTGAGAATAAGCAGCATTTGCCGCAATGCTCGTATTAAACCGCCGGCACATCGGTCATTACAGGGTACATGCGGCTTCATCCTTGACGGGGACCGCAGACAACTTCGACAGCACAGCACGCGGCAGCTCCAATTAATTGATTTGTTTATGCATGTTTCTGGGGTATTTCTGTCAGCATTCCGTTGCCGCGAACCAATGAATGTCATTTGCCCCGGACCCCTTTCTCCGGGCGATTTTGATGCGGCACTACACGTGCTGTGTATGCCGGCAGTGAGTAATAACGTGTCTCGTCGAACCCAGATGGTTGTACCAATCAAGATACCTACATTGACGGAACATACGGCCACTAGTATGCATGATTTGATGAACAGAAGGAGGGTGGCATTTCGGATGTTTGAGGCTGGGCTGCATATGGGTAGTATTTGAAGATCCCTCGTCATAATGAGAATAGTACGTGATCCGAATACATCACTGCTCAATATGCGTTGGCATGCGTCTTGGCCTTCAATGTTCACCGCCCCCCGAGCCTTTCGCGATGTTTCTGTCAGCTCATCTCAGTCTGCCTTTATACACCTTCAGTGATGTGATGTCTGACAGAAGCCATCTCTTTCTCCGGCCATGCGCCTGTGAGACGCTCCAAGTCAGGTTGACCATTACTGATGTAGAATTATAAAACATTAATATTCCACAAATGTAGAGTAGAAGGAGCGTCTGGTTCTGATTAAGGAGCCTCTAACATATGTATCAACGTAACATGACGATACGCTGAACTAGACTTACCTACATATCAGCATCGATCTAACATTCTAATAATAGCAGATAACTGATCTCAGTGTTGTTCTAGAATGGAAATATGTAGGTCGCTCAATAAATTTCCAGGAGGATCAGCAGCATCAAGTCAGGAAAGCCAAAGCATCAGGCCTTATCCAGCCCATTTTCGCAAATAGGTTCACTACAAAGGGAAAAACAGCAGCCTCTTTTCGGCTGGCATTGCAGTGTCCCAATTGACCTATGACGCCTGTTTGCTTCTTGCTAGGCTTCTCGTGTTTCATGCGTCATACATATTTGCCGATATTGGAATAATAATCCGTTTGAGTTCTGTTTGCAAGAGAGGCCGCCGTGGCCGATCTTTTCTGCTTCAGATTTGCCATTTTAGACGGTTGGTTCCTTGGTCGCGTCGCTAGCTGAGTTGGCGCTTTCGATTACCAGGATTGTAGAGCCTGAATTATTTCAGCACCTGTCGATCAGCCTCGCCACCACGCTCGTACTCACATTTAGTGCCAGGGGATAAACTTGATTGCAAGCTCGATGATGCTATGCTGATTTTAATGATATAGATTTAGCTTTTATGTTTTACCCAATGTCTACTATGGCAGTATGGCTGAACTGCAGAGGGATCCCGCCAAACAACGGTGCTCTCTTCTCAGTCGCAAAGCAATTGTTTAACGGCCCTATTCTCAGTTCATTAGGCTATAATATTATTGCTTCCAATACAGTTCATTACAGCTCGATTTTGAAAGATTTTATAGAGTATTAGTGCCACATAAACAAGTGGCGATAGCCGTAGCTTCGCGCTGCATATTTCTCAGCATAAAACACGCCACAATGCTGCCAAATGCCACAGAATGATGCGGGCGCAAGCTATTGGCATATGCAAGCCTTCGATAGCAATGCTATGATGTCTTGGTTGTTCAGATAGGCATCCATGTTTATTTCTTCTAGCTATCAAGTCAGCTTTGAAAGGGATAAGAGCATCTAACAGATAAGACATTGGTCACTGACACCGTTTAGATTCAGCTTCGAGCCAGATGTAGTCTCATCGGTGCCTGGAACAGTCAGAGAACAGATTTGTTGGCCGACAATATTGGCACTAACTTAGTAAATTCCGGCGAGTAAGCTCTGCCATCCACTCCCCACAACTTCACTTCAATTCTCTCCAAAGGCTAGGCTGAGTGCCATTTGCGAAACCCTCAAGATGCCCACTTTAATAGCTGTAATGCGCTCGATATTAGGCGATTGCTGCTGACCTTCAAAGAGAACATGAAACAGATTGACCGGCTGGATGGCTGGGTGGCTGCGGTATCGCATTCTAGCCAGGACCTTACCACGACTCGATCTTGAGTATACGAGATGAAGCCCACAACCGCTGTGAGCTTTGCTCCATGATATGGAGCACTTTCATGCAAGAGCATGATACGTCACGAAACGCAGCCGACCAAAAATACTTTTCGCAGAGTCTACAGACGAATATTTTGCACATAAGTTCGGAGGCCCAGCACATGTGCTGGCGAGAGATGTGAGAAAGCTCAAGTCCGAAACCATTCGTTCAACGACAAAAGTCCACCTGATATGGTGGTACACAGTCTCCTTCATTATTACTTGAGGCAAAACTTGACTGTTGCCAGCGACAGGCTCGCCGCCCTTGCGGGCTTCGCATCTCGAATGCAAGTAATGCTTGAAGATGAGTATTATGCCGGGCTATGAAAAAGGGGCCTCAAACGTGGCCTACTCTGGAATCATGGAAGGCAGCATGGAGCTGGATACCTGAGTGTGAATGGAAAAAGAGGCTTACACGGGGAGAATATTGGGTATGGATCTGTGCCAGCTGGAAAGCGAACTGGACTCTTGGCCAGACGAGGTTGTGAGTGAAGCTGAAGTCATCGACATACATGCTGATGCCCTCGATGGTAATAACTGTAGTAGAGTTAATGGCGGTTGACTTGTCATCGCAGCCCCATTCATCAGCTGAAACCGTTCAGAGACGATTCATCCACTTGAGCGCTCTGTAACGATGCTTGTTACAAAGCCTGACTCTTCTGTTGGAGTAGAGTGCGGGCTCCGACACAAGCCATACGTCGGACAGCGCTTCACTGCCATCCACATTGCATGGGATAATTTGCGGCGATTGCGCCTCTATTTTCTGCTGTTGGAAACGGTCCAGGGCTTTGACCATAGAGAAGAGTCTGTCAATGAACCCGCTGTCAGCATTATCAGTATACATTAATACCGCCGTGTCTGCATGTTCTTTATCGACGAACGTAAATGGCGAGAATTGCCTGTGAAGAACTTTGTCATTGTCTAGTCCAGCTGCCCACTGCCAGCTTCATACTTGGCATCAGCGGAGATAAATGCCCAATCTCGTCGCTTGGATCGGAGAGCTCAACAAAATTACTTCAAAAGCTGACATGTATGTCGAAATTGGAGATTATCTCGCACTAGCTGTTGTAAATATGCCAAACAAAAATTACATACAAGGCTTGCCGCGGCATATACATATAGTTCAGCCTGGCTTGAACGACTGGAACAGTCATTCATCTACATGAACACAGTGCAGCGTGCTTTTTGTGGCGTGAGAATGATCTCATGGAGAAAGTGGTTGAGGGTCAGGGGAATCCGCACACAGCTATATCAACTGAACAGATATGTCTAATGTGTTTCAGAGCATGAACGCTTCCCGGCATTTGCTTGACTGCTGGCCTATTTCCCTGTCTTCCATCTCCACACTATACAAAGCATATATCTATGTATATCCATTAAACTTATTATTAAAGTTTTATTATTAACCTTAATACGTAAAGTTATGCACGGCTATTTATGAGTTCCAATACATATATCAATGGCTCAGACAGGCTAAGATTGGTATATAGATACTTAGATACTGTATCTCAGTATGGTTTAAATCAGGCGGTAGAATATAGTTGCGAGACTCCAGATAATCAACAGCAAAATGGAGATTCAGATACCACGTGTAAAAATTGACGTATAGAGTAATGAAACATTGTACGGGCGTCGTGCCAATGCTCTGAGACAAAGTATAACATGTAAAGTTTTATAGTTGATGCAGGATGGAAAGCATGAGACAAGATAGGCTGTTAAAAGCGTCAACTAATAACTAATAACGTATCCAGCAAGACGCTGCTGAGTGCGTTCAATGACTATGCATTTACGACTCAATTTAGGTTTTCAACAATTTAGTTATGCTTACAAGCCGCTGCTTGTAACTTTCAGCCTGCATTAAGCATGCGTAAGCGTAACAGAGATCAGTGACTAGTCATGTTATTGACCCTGAAGAGACGCAAATCCCGCAGCGTTGTTATTGTTAGATCCAGTCTCTACCTTTGTAGCAGATCTAGAAAGACTAGTCTCAAAGCAAAAGTGTTTTTGTATAAATAGACCTGTGTTCTCCTCATCATCACTTGAGTCACTCAACACGCTCGCTCAGGCCTTTCTGGATCTTCTTTCGCTCAATCCACTACTTCTCTACAAATTTGTCGCTGGTCTTCAAAAGTGCCTTCGCCAACACTATTCTTATACATCAATCATGTACGCCTCGGTCATCATTTACACTCTCGTCGCCCTCAGCGGTGTCATGTCGTCTCCGGTTCAAGAAGAGGTTGCGCCCCGGGCCATTGAGCCTCGCATGCCTACTTTCGCCGACATCCCGTTTCCGAGATTCCCGAGCCACAACAAGCACCAAAAGGACAAAGGCAAAGGCAGTAATAGTAGGTTTTTACATCGACTTCTGCATATTGGCGTACTTTGGATTCTAATTGTGATTACAGAAAATGAGGCCAGTGGCTGCAGCCCAGACACAAACACTCAGTTGAACGCCTGTTCTGCTGGCAACCCATACTGCTGCAGCAGTGATGGTAACGGTGGTAAGTGATCAATTGCCTGTTTCTATCTAGGATAAACTCTAACAGTCTTCAGGCCATGTCTGTGCCAACACTACTGCATGCGACCAAAAGGTCATTTGCTGCAACAACAACAACGGCGTGCGTTCATATTGCTGTATTAACTGTATTCATTATCTGACAAACATACTTAGTTCCAAATCTGCATCGGCGAAATCGACTTTAACATGCCAGTCACCATCAACATCTATGAGTAAAAGAGGTATCGGAGCGAAAGAGGCTTTCTCAAAGGGCAATGGAATCGGGGAACTTTGCAATTAAAGCTTACTACTAGTAGTGTATCTTAGCCCCCGGTTTTTGAGAAGTCAATTTACTCAAACTATTCAAAATAACCTCTCATAGCCTGCTCCTTGATTCAGCGACTACAAATTACTAAAGTGAAGCTGTTTATTAGACTTTTGTAGTGCTGTAAGCCATCGCTTGTGGGCGTTGTCCCGCAGTCGCTAATCTGGCGGTGCCTGAGCCACGCTAGAGTAGATCGCGGCCCATGTGAAGAGCACTAATACACCTCAGCTCTATTTAATTTACATCAATGCGCCACTTCCAGGGAGGGATACACATGACAAACAACTCGATAAAGTTTGCATTAGCTGAAAATCTCAATTTCCTTTGAGTTTCATGAAAAGGTTGCTTCTTTTACTAACCGCCGCAGGATCGCTACATTTGTAACTGCCGCTATACTTGGTAGCTCAGGGGTAAAAGTTCACCTGAACCTTAAATTTATTGCCGTCTTTCAATGGATCTTATACTGGCACTCAATCAGACGCTATCTCATGTAAACCAGGAAGAAAGTCGCCCTCGGAAAATATTATCGCTAGTACAATTAATCTGCTATAAGATGTGGTTTAGTTGGCAGGCATAAATTCATAAATTGACAGGAAATAAATCTTTGTGAAATCGTCGTTGAGTTAACTCGGCACCACCCATTCCGACTCCCCCTGGCATCGAATTAGCTGCCGTACGAGGGAGATCTATTCTACTATAGCCTCAGTTGCGCTGGCCAAAGATCATTTGACATCAAGCCCAAAGCCTTAGCATGATAGGCAGACACGATTAGATACAAAGGGAAGGCCAAAAACCATCGCTCTCTTGTATAATCTAGTCAGAGTCGCCGTCATAAAATTTTGAGCATTGAGCGAGCAGATAGGCTGCTGATAACCAGCGGAAAAGTAATGACTAGGCTGGTCTATTGGGAACTACCTAGGTAGTGTGGGTATATATTTCAAGTGAACGTTCCTATGCGCATACTTCACGTTTCCCATCGTATACTCCACTGAGGACAAGGACGCTTTCAGGTACTTCGCCGTACCACTGTATCGTCAAGCCGTTAACTGTGACTCTGCTGATGCGTTCGGCGTTCTGATGACGGTCTTCATCTTGGCTGACACTTACCAAGTGCCGCTCGTTCTGATGCTTATTAGCAACTGAATGGTCAAAAGGGACATCATGCACCCATAAATCATCATCCTCCGGCTTATCGTTGGCCAAGACTCCTTGAATCGTGGTATGGCCTATGTCTGCAACGCTGAGGAAACATGACAAACTTCGTGGAGTGATTCGCAACGTCCATCTTGGGGGATACCACGGATCCTGCTGCCCAAGCAACACGGTGCCATCTTCCGTTGTGCGATCGTCAATTAGTACCACAAAGTAGGGGTAGTATTCACAGTCTGCGGTCTTGAACTTTGTCGTAGCTATCTTTAACAGCTCGTTGACCCCACCTGTTCACTGATCAGCCCATAAGTTCCGATTCGCTATAGAGCGACGACGTACAGTCTCCGTGGGATCGTGTAGGATGAACAACCCATGTATCGCCTATATCCCTGCCTTTTGCGAATTCCTCAACAAAAGTATCGACAGTCTTCTGCGATACGCCTGGGCGAATAAATGCAGCCACGACTTTTTTGTCGGCAAGAATTCTCCATGAAAGTCGCCCCTCATCCATTATTTCTGAACAGAGTTTGCTGGCAGACTGAAGCAGTGGGGCCTCGTGGTGTACGAATGAAGCAACGATTAAGTTGATGATACACAAGCTTGTGTTGTGAGTACACTTATTCTAGCGATCACCAGATGACCAATGGATACCCTAATTATGTCAGCCAGCTTGACCATCTTGTGTATTCACCGCTATGGCTAAAATATCTGTACAATGGAATAATTTCCAGAATGAAATAAATAAAGCTCTACTCTAGAGTCTGTTTGTGGCATTACTTCTGAGGCATAAATCTTCAATCGGTCCAAGTGTCCGCTATGGTCTAATCCACGTAACCTGATTTTGCGGGGCTCGTGGCCTATACAGGTCTCTTCTAACCACCAGACGGTCTCCAATAAGACTCAAGCCCAGCGAATAACACAACTTGTAATGTGATCCCTATTTTTTATAAGTTTCGATTTCGAGGCCACGTAGATGGCTGGTTCTGAGCTAATTACGCTGCGGCGAACAAGCAAGGTTTCGTTTATAAAGCATGCGTATCACACCGTGAGCATATCATGTGGTTACAGCCGTGAGTTTTCCAATGATCATTCTCCATAACAAGTGTCTTGCACTTGTCTACCAACTTTGTCTGCATTCAATTTTATTCAATATCAAGTTGGCAGCCTGTGTCAGCATACTCAATCGGGAACATGTATGTGGGAGCCGTTGAGTCATGGCAATTTGCGTTGAAAGGCGCAGGCCTTGATTAATCATCAGGTTGTGAGTCCAGTTTTACGCTCACACGCCTGATTCTCATCACTCATAGACTTATAGCACAGGGCCATTCATACGGGCTTAATTGCGGGCTCAATTTTGCGTATGTTTTCTATTTCTCATCTAATCCTAAATATAATGTTTGAAAGCGATATGCATTTGGTCAAAAAATGGTTCGCATGTGAATGGCTTTTCGGAGATTAGCTGTAGCAAAGAGGCCACGATTTCCCCGAATTGAACTCTTCCTGTACAAATGTATAAACACCAGCACCCAATAAACGCTATAGCGAGTCGGGTTACGACCTGAGAGCATTTTACAAAGAAGAAATCTGTCCTTAGGCGCATCGCCGTGACTCACCCTACACTCAGCATCTCAGCTTATTAGCCACGTATCAGCAAGGGATTCTAACTTCAGTGCTCTTATATGCTCCCAGAGAGGTCGCGATGGCTGAAAAAGAATGGGATATAGCACATGAAGTAGCATAAGTGTAACCATCTTCAATACAATTAACATGTAGATTGATTTATTTATAAGACTCTTTACTACCTTACACACAGAGCATTTAGGCTTACCAAAAGGTAATAAATTATAAACTGTAAATAAATTTGTACTAGACCTTGAAATATAAGCATATTTGTTCTTTCTTGACCGACCTCGTGTTGGCCTAGTGCCTCCCGAGACTAATTCTTGCGGGTACCTGTCCCGGATGAGGCTCAATCATGTTGGTGGCTGTACCTCATCCTAGAATGGAAATGGCCGGGACTTATGGAATACGGGAACTTACGTGGCGCAGGTTTAAAAACGCCAAGTAAACAACGCTCCTCAATGCAGCACTTCCTTTTTCTCTACGAAAACACAGTCTTGTCACCTCTCGTTCCCAATTGCAGGAATTCAACACACGTGCTCAAAGATGGCCAGCTCAACAGCATTCAACTCGATGAAATGGTCTCTTTACCCAAGCGACTCATTTGAGCACTTCACCTACGAGGTGCCCTGGTGGGCGCGAACTGTATTGCTCTTCGACTTTGTCATATTCCTGCCCATCCTTCTTGTTGTACGTGTGCTCTCTTTTCAGACCTTTTTCTCGCTGACATCCACTAACATTGCTGTGTTTCGTGTCTAGTTGCGATATACTTTGCCTCACGTCTATCCGGTATTTGCCATTATAGAGGACAAGGGCCTAGAAAAGGGCCCTATTGGAGACGATTCTCCCGAGCTCAACGCTGTTGACAACGACTCATTACTCGCATCTCCTTCTGCCGGCAATCATGGGCAAACAGACACTTCGTCTCCATCCGCCATCTATCGACTCCTGGTGAAAGACGGCGGCATCTTGGCCAACTGTCGTGGCCTCGCATGCGCTCTATTGCAGACGATTCCTACGACGCTTTACATCGCTTATCACGCCCGATTTTTGAGAAATGAATTTCACATGGTCGCTAGATTGCTCTTTTCCCTTTTGCTGGTCCAGTTCTCTACAATGTGGCTGCACCTCGTCATCGCTCAAAAGACCGACCGGCCGTTCGAGAGCCGCATACCCCCCTTTAAGCGTACCTTTCGGGCAACCTGGCTGCCAACGATGCTTCACTGGGCTGCAGTAGAGTTTACCGGGCTGTTTCCTTCCATGATCGCTTCGAGTATGAACATTGATTGGCCGTCGTTCGCCCTCTTCGTGCCAGACAACACCTACAGCTTTCGCCTGGACATGGCTGCTGGCGATGCCGTCTTCTACTACAAGTGTGCCGCCGTCATTTTCGCCACCGTCGTCGGCTCCATCTTCCTCGTTGTCCCTAGTCAAGTGGTCTTGATGCGAATTCAGGCATCTCTCCTTCCTGTGGAGGACAGCACCATTGTTCCCTTTGACCGTTCCTTCGGGGGCCGGATCCAACCGGATTCTGAGAATGGCCGGGATTATGCCACGATCTCGGATGCGTGGCATAGCTTCTCTCGGGCTCACTGGCGGGGATTGATAACTCTTTCCTTCAAGATCATCATCCTTTCTCTGTCATTGATCTTGTTGATGTGTGTGGTCGTCGGCTTGCAATGGGCTATGATTGTGACACAGGATATGGAGCCAAATGAGTATCTCTAGATGCTCTAGATTGGCAACCCCGAAATTACATATAATGCAGTAGAAAGGGGAATGGAACTTGCAAACCAATACTTATTTATGCCATGCTAGGTACTTCTCTAGATTAACGGATAAGCCGATCATTGAGGATTCTATTGACCAGCCTCTTCACTACTGTAGCAAATGGCCAGAACCTGAGAGCATGCTTATTACGGATAGCGTCTCATTCCACTATCCGGCACCTGTTAGCCCTTTTTACAAGTGGATTATGGCCACTCATAGATTGTGTACTGCTGTGGCACTGGGTGCAGCTCAGATGGGCTGCGGAAGTGGAGGCTATCGTGGTGTACGAGAAGGGCTGGTCCCCCCATCTAATCCGATGGAATCTCATGTGGTGAACTCAAAGTTCGCCTTCGACTGCGCATGGAAGAGGTCACCAGCCTCGCTATCGCTCCTATCCCGAGTGTAGGTAGGTATAGCTATTTGATGAAGCCACGTTGGATTGGTATCGAAGCTTTGTTTTGCCGAGCTACCCCAATCACGAGCCAAGCCGAGCCAAGTTGTTTAGGTTTCTTACCGTAATCATTACCTACTACATTTATACCTCAACCATTTGAGTCGATCATCATCCTTATCAGATGGCCTGGGACAAGAGATATCCGGAAAGTCCACCGGCACTACAGAGCTAGGCCGCTCCAGCAATCGCATTTGCGAGCCTCAGATCGTTAACCCAGGAGAACAAGCCCTACTGGTTGGAGCTGTCGTCTTCAACGGTGCCAGCGTTGACAGTAAAGGTCGCGGACACTCTGGAATGAATACAGCCTGCCGGCGCATTCTGCTGCTCCAACGCGCCGCTCATGATTCAGCGCCAGGCTGCTGGGGAACTTCCTGGAGGCTCTTTCGAGCCAACTCTAGATGCTACCATTCTACAGGCTGTGGGTCGCGAGCTGTGGGAAGAGACAGGTTTGCGCCTACGCAGGGCGCGTCGATTGGTCAATGAAGTAGAGTTCCAAGACGACCACTATCCTGGATGTCTGTGGCGAAATGCGACGTTCGTGGTCGACCTGGACGATACAGCGATAGGAACCGGCACAGCAGCTATAGATCATATTCGAGACAAAAGCACTCCACGCAATGTCGAACCATCCATTCTTGTAAGAATTTGATCCTCAAGAGCACCAAGATTGGGGCTGGGCGACAGAAGCCGAGGTTATAAATTAGACTTGGCATAAAGGAGCAATGGAGCTATTCACAACGCAGAAACAAATCATGCTACAGGCTTTCACCCAGGGATATAGGATAAATTAGCGTTTTGATAATGTACATGTATTGTAGTTTGCTTATCGCGACCAGACCCATCAATAGCACTTCATAGAAAATAACTGGAAGTTGTAAAGTTTACAGAGGTATAAATGCCGCAGCATGAGATCTTATGCTAAGTGCCTGTATGTTGTCTTTTAGATGCTCAATCTTGCGACGGCCGACCATGGGAAACACAAGAATTGGGTGTCCGCCCTTTGTCAAGAGCATAAAAGGATGGCAGGAGGAGGACACACCGGCAATTTATATCCATGTTTTGCATTCTAGTGAATGGAGTTTCTACATTAGTGAATCTATGATGCTCGGACTATGTTGCATCCCGTTGAATCGCTCGTTGTTGCCGATAGACTTTGGTCGTCAGGCCTAGACTAGAAAAGCCAGAATGATGAGTAGTCCCCGCTCATACAATTCTTGAAGAACACCATACTGTAATGTCACTCAAGAACATCAAACTCCGCGACATCGACGCGCTAGATGGATCATTATATCCGGAAATCCCGAGCTGAAGTTGCATATACAAGACATCTAATGGGCAGGTAACCGAAAGGCAGTTGTGACTACTTCAAGATATACTAATACCTGACAGTTGGTAATGAATAGTAAGAAAGTGTCCTAATGTACATGTATGCAGCCTCAAAATTATAGACCTCTTACAATTGCTGGGTTCTCTTTAGCTGTAGGTCACCAAAATAGTAAGGAGTCAATCTATATTGCCTTTATTAAAGGCAATTCACATGATGTCTATAGCTTAACGCCAGCTTTTTAGGGAACTCGCATGAGCTACTAGCAAATTTCGTTCTACTGTGACCGAATTGCTATGAAATACATGTTTATAGTCGTAACCAGGGATCTACAGGGCAGGTTGTACACTTTGGATGACTGGCCAATTAAGAGAGACTGGTGATGCTCGCTCAACGATTCAGATGAGCTTGCGCCCTTATAGCTCGTCTCACAGGCCGAACGAGCCAGATTTCCAACCGGACAGGTACCTATACCCGTTCACTTATGTCGCTCAATAGACTACCTGGATAGCTAGTTGTTAACACACTTTACAACAAGATTGGATTCACATACTCCCTGCCTGTTATACAGTAACTATTGCTAACCTACAGGTACTCATACTTATAACAAACTATATTAAAGGGGATTCATGAACGCAATTGCAGTTCTGTCGGTACTACTATGTCAGCATGCGGTTGATTGAGTGCAAGGTCTTTCCTATGGACACTTAGTCCTCCTCTCCAACCAAACCAGCGCGTTTCCCACGGCCCGCGCAACAGTGATACAGTTAGAGCTGCAAGGATAAAACAGATGTGAGCTACCCCGCTATGAATCCAACCGCCTTCTGCGTAAAGACGATTTCCAACAGTGGTCCCCATCAGTTGGCCGGCAAATGCAGCTACTGTATAAGCTACGTTTGCACGGTTTTGAGTATTTGGAGTGCTGGAATAAATAGCACTTCGATAGGCTATACTGGCCGTTTGAGCACCGAAGTCGATGCTTACTGCCTGGATGACGATACCGGCGAGAGAGTGTACCTGTGAATGTACCGACTATTACGCCTATCAACGCATATAGTAAACCAAGGCCAACTGAAAGGTTTGGCACAAAGCGGTCAATCACTGCGCGGCTGTATGTAGGGACGACGAGTAATGGAGCGATGCCGATAAGTGCAAAGAGGCCGATTTGTAAGGAGGAGTATTTATATAAAGGAGATGAAAGCAAGGCCGTAAGGGTGGTCCAGTATGAAGAGAAAGCTGCGTTCGAGAAGACTACCATTAAGCAGCCGTAAGCTAAAATAGGTTGTTCAAAAATAAGACGGACAATGCTCCCCAGCATAGATAGATAGCCTATGTCTCCAGGGTTGGCCGATAGGTAGTCGGGCATGAAAAGCCAAAGCAGAGCAAATGCAAGGTACTGCAACCCCAACGCTGTCCAAAATATATCTCTCCAAGTCGTGTATTGCGTGACAATACCGGAGAGGACTCACGGTAGAAGTGTCCCAAGCATAAGTCCAGAGAAAACAATTGAGATAGCCGTAGCCCGGCGAGCAGGAGGTGCGAGGCCGCTTGCTAGCGGCATCATAAGCTGTGGAGTAACAGTAGTGAATCCGGCTATGAAGCTAGAAGCGCAGAACACCTTGAAATTATATTTCACGCATAGACCGATCCATATAGTAGCTGTCAAGAGGATAAGCAGTAAGATAAACCGCCGTAACTAAATCTGATCGCCTAAAGGACAGAGGAAAAGAATCCCAGAGCCGTAGCCAGCTTGCATAAGGGTAGGAATTAAGGCTGCTTTCTCATAGCTGACATCGAAGTCATCGGCAATCTTATTTAGAATAGGATAGGAATAGTAGAGGTTAGCAGCCGTTATAGTACTTGCTAAACTAAAAAGAAGGTTCAACGAGAGAGAAAATCGAAATTCCCTGTGATTGATGTTTCGACATCGAGGAGGAATCCATGTCAGAATTTCAATAATTTTATGCCAGATAGAATGATCTGATGACATGTTAATAATCGCTGGCCCTGGTCTCTTACTATTCGTATGAACGAGGTGCGGCTTATCACTAGTCAGATGCTTGGATATTAAACATGCGAGGAAATACAGAAGAAGGATGCAGGTATAAGAACCAAAAGCCTCAAGAAGCTAAATCTAGGAACGAGCGGTCTCGGGTTGCGGGGTAAATTGCCGCAACCCCATCTGGTTCTTTTACTCGTACGTAACATGGCTTGTTTATGTGGGATCTCGGCATACACGTACAGTAGGTAGTATTGCTGCTGATGCGGAGAGACTCCGATACCGCAAAGAGCGACGAAAGCCACGCTCTATACTGCCTTTAAACGTGACAATCTTATCAAGCTACCAACGTTCTGCCTTGAATTTAAAGCTGCAGCTAATTCCAAGCAATAAAAATCCTACTTGCGCTCTACTTTCAGAGGCGAACGCTCCATTAAACTATAGTGACAGCAAAACATCAAATGGCTCACTCTAGCCAAGGACAATTAATTCTTATGGAAGAGTTCCAAGGGGATCGTTCAACAGAGCTGAACCATAACGGAACAGAAGATGCGGTGCAACGTTCGCTTCCACCCACGGATGGCGGTAGAGACGCATGGTTGGTATTAGCTGCATGTTCAATCACAGAGGCGCTGATATGGGGTAATATATACTTCAAGTCATTTCAACTATATATGGACTAATATTGTGCAATAGGGTTTCCTTTTGCCTTTGGTGTTTTCCAAGAGTACTATTCTAACCTAGAGCAATTTTCCAAGAATAGCCATCACCTTGCTGCTATTGGTACTACTGCAACGGTTTGTTGAAAGAATTTACTATATTAATAACCAAAAGGGGACTAATGCCTTGAGTAATAGGGTGTGATGTATATAACTGCGCCTATTGTTTATGGGATTCTTCGAAGATACCCATATTATCGAAAAGCAATTAGCGCAATTGGCTTCATTATTGTAGTAGTAAGCCTGGTTAGTGCTTCTTTTGCAAATACCGTCTCGCAACTTCTGGCAACACAGGGTATACTATACGCGTTTGGCGGATCGTTGCACTATTTCCCAGCTTTTCTTTACCTGGATGAGTGGTTTGTTAAACGCAGAGGACTGGCATATGGCATCTTTATTGCTGGCGGGGGTGCCTCAGGGATTGTGGTGCCATTCCTTATGGAATGGATTCTACACCATTGGGGTTTTCGGACTGCCCTCCGTGTTTGGGCTATCATCTGCATTGTGATTACTGTTCCAGCCTTTGTCGCCTTAAAACCACATCCAGCAAGTATTCATTCTCAGCGAGTCGGCCAAAAGCTGGATTTTCGGTTCCTCAAAAGCCCTGCTTTCTGGATTTTGTTTATGGGAAACATCGTTCAGAGTCTTGGTTATTTCATGCCACTATTATATATGCCATGTAAGTTCTTAATTGCTATCCTTGCTTAATATCGTTATATCGACTAATGCATTATTTAGCATTTGCAGCAGCTCAAGGCTGGTCCCATCTTACAGGTACAATTGCTATATCACTATGCAATGGCGCTTCTGTAATAGGAGCATCGTTTGTTGGCTGGCTAATTGACCGTTACCATGTGACAACGGCTATCAATTTCTGCACTATAGGGACTGTAGTTGCCGTGTTCATGTTTTGGAGCTTTGCGCTATATCAGCCTCTGTTTTTTATCTTCGCTATAAGCTATGGTTTATTCGCCGGGGGGTTCTCTGCAACATGGTCCGGCTGTAGTAATCCCATACGCCGTGGATACCCGGTTGAGACTGGCATGGTTATCTCACTTTTCACTGCTGGAAAAGGGATTGGTTCTGTTATATCCGGTCCCCTTAGCGCAATCTTGGTTACGTCTGACAGCTGGAGGAGCCAACTAAGATTTGCGTATGGCAGTGGTTACGGGCTGTTGATTATATTCACTGGTATTACAGCTTCATTTGCGAGTGTGGGATGGGTTGGGAAAAAATTTGGGCTGGTTTGATATCCAGCTTACAGCCTCTCACGGTTGCATTTAGTTAGTACATTTATCTCCTTTCCATGTGCTGCTTTAGGGGATATATAGTTTAGAGAAACTAGATCCAGGAGCATAAATAACTAAATGTAACTATTACTATATGTATACTCTTAAATAAATTATGTTTAATTTATTAAAATTTATTTATTCATTATTATATACAGTAGAAGGCTAAATGGGTGTCGCGGTATCGGTAGATAAGATAAATAGTGAGACCCACCTTTGGTCTGAAAGTAGGTTAGCGTTAAAACTGCTTGTACCTCCAAGTCTTTCCCAAACACCGCAGACCAGACGAAATTCGTTGATGGCTCATCCCCGCACCGACATGTGGAATTCCTTACAAAAATTACTATAAAGGCTTCGCTCCCGCCATACTGAATTCCTTTCCGAGCACCATAGTCAACACTTGTCCTGAACCATCGTCTCTTGACTCCAGAGCATCCCATTTTAATAATGACGGTTCAGTAGTGTCTACACTATGTTCAGAAGATTCAATTCACCACGAGGTGAAGTTTTATTTTCGTGTGTTCAATTGGATGCAGGTAAGGAATCAATAGTGAGGGCAGCAGCGCACTGCCTGCATATTGGTACAGTGAGAATTGCACACAGCAAGGCTTTTTTTTGGGGGGGGGGGGGGGGGGGGGCATCCAGGAGCTTGGCCAGTGATCGCCGCCACTAAGCATTGTGCCGGGCACCCCTTCAACAATCCACGACACGTAACGGTCTGTGCCGCGGAAGCTGGGAGGGCTTCCTGTGCGTCCAAGATTACCTCCTCTGCCAACGAAGTTTGGTGTGGGAGAACAGGATCATCACGCCCTTTGCTCCAAGGCGCCCTTTCGCCGCTAGCTTGATTGCCACTTGATTATTGGCATGCGGCATGGCTCTCAAACTGGAGGGTTTCCGTCGGCTCTGTGCCGTCGCGTTTCGCGTTGTAGTCCACGACTTGGGTCACGAGACCCAAAAACTTCACATTCAAAGATATGCTTCTGTCACCTCCGTGATTGACGTCAAGAGGA